GATAGTACTTTTATCAGGATAAAGTCCGATAAATATTAATCGCGGTTTATTGACATACTGGTATTTACAACGCTAAATGACTTGTATACCCCAATAGTTTTGCCTACTGCGTTTTATCGAGAGAGTGCGATAAACTGCACTCACTTTTATATCGCGACAGAGTTGCTCATTATCGCGATATTTCAGCACATTTAGCATAATATCTCGATATATCGCAAGTTTTCAACAAAAATTACCCTCATGGGCACCATATATAAATACTTGTTATATAAGTTCTGATGTGGTACGTTTTCTTGCAATCTATGTGGCTTCTAAAAAAGGTTAGGGTTATTGGTTTCAATAAGGTAGTTTAAGTCACCAATCTCTAGTTAAATTCAAAAGGAATCGTAAAATTATATATTATGACCGTTGATATAAACTATGGGAAAGCTCAGTAAAGAGATTATTAATTTCGATTCCTTACCTCACACATGTTAGCGCTTTGACCGTATGCACATTATGTTGTGGAGAATATTGTTTATGAATATAATTAGCTGATGTTTACTAGTGAAAAATTCTCTAGTTTTGGATCTTGATAACAAAAGCTATTAATCGACAGAAAGAAGACACATAATCGCACTTCAAGCATCATGTCATTTATACAAAAAACAGAATCACTATAATGTTATGCCGCATGCAAGTTACATTGCTAAAATAATTCGTAAGAGCAAATAGAGGGTAAATAAATTGATAATGAACGGTTCACTCAGTTTATTGAAGTAGCGTTAACACATCGTCTAACGTTTTGATACAAATGAATGGAGAAAATACATTTTTCTCGATGCCATCTAGCATTATGCTTTTTCGGCGCTAAACTTTCTTGTACAACAACTGTCCATTTTCATCCGTAAGTTAGTATTAAAGATAGAAATGTCAGATTGGTTTCAAAAAATGGATAAATGTTTTTTCTATGTCGTGACGTTTTCTTCTTTTTTTTTTTTTTCAGTTTAACAGACTGATTTATTTCAGTTAATTAGACGGATTTTTCAGTTTAAGTATATTTTAGTAGAAACTTAAAAAGTTTCCGAAAGTTACAGATTATTCACTTTTCGGAAACTTTTTAGATTTCTACTAAAATAAACTTAAACTGAAAAATCCAACTACGTCACGACATAGAAAAAACATTTATCCATTTTTTGAAACCAATCCGACATTTCTATCTTTACAAATGAAGTGAAAAATACCTTTTGACCACTAATTTAAGAATGACTCTGAGAAAACAAGTAATAGAAGGCTGAAACTTGTAGAATGACTAAGTTACCTCAAGATACACATTTTCTGAAATTTTTTTTTTGCTGTATGAGTTTTTGCGTTATCAATCATCCTTTCAATATTATGATTTTTATACTCTTTTTTAAATTTTTTCATTTGTAACAATCTTTCAGTTGCTCACTAATAGTTTCCTTATGAAAATAAGTATGCGTTCTTATATTTATACTAGCTGTTGCTGAACATTCAACATAATTGATATCCTGTCTCTTTAATAAGTCCAGATATCTTCCAGCAACTTTTCTTCATCCATTTTTATCTAAACTATAAAATGGACATGAAGTATGTTCTTTTGAACCATTTATACAATAAAATACGCGAATTTTCTCTAGATAAATTCCAGACTGGCTGATTATCAGCATCTAATGCATAGTAATTATTTTTCTGAGATTAAAAATAATTAATAAACTATTTGCTATGACTAATCGCATCGTCTCTTTCATGTTCTTCAAACTACGATTTTTATGAATTGACTTCAAATTTGCAATCCACCCCACTGTGGAAGCAGTTTTCTAAAAAACTTCAGATTTTAAGAAAATATTTCCAGAGACCTTTTGGACATTTTCTAAAAAACCTAATCGTATGTTTATTTCACTCTACATTGATTCTTACCCAAATGCCTAATTTCTTGCTTCCTTTCATAGTCAAAATCTGATGATTTAGAGAAATTATTGTTTGAGTAATGGAATAGCTAAATAAAAAGATCTCAACGTACTTTTTCTTAATGGTGTAATAGTTTAGAACGAGGCAGAAAAAACATTTTACTTGTCTTCTAGAATAACTTGGTTTACAAGATAGATATCGACCAAATCAGGCATTAAAATAAAGTTTACTTCAATCGACCACTAAAAATCCTAACTAATATCCTGCTATAAGGGAAACGAGGTGCTATAGTGGCACCACTAGACGACGTTTAGCTATTTCGAAAGTTTCAAAGAACTTTAGGATCATTTATTCCAAGGCAAAACGTATCAGTAAAAACTAGACAAAACTGTGACATTTGAGCTCAAACTGAAGTTGAGAATCATTTACAAGTAGCAAACAACTGAGATACAAAATTTACCCAGTCTGCCTGGTATAATCGTTAAGGGTAAACCCCCCCCCCTCTTTTTTCACCCTCTTGAAACCGGGGACGCTGATGTCGGATCGGGGTGAAATTTATAACAGAGATAGAACATCGAAAAAGAAAATTGATGTATTTTTGCACAGAATTTTATGACATGTTCTTCCGTGGATTTTCTAGAAAACTCTGGTTTTCATCCAGTCACATTACGACTGCTTCAAAAAATGGTCCGATCGAGCTCAAAATTTTACCACAGGTACTTCAAACCCTATCTCAGGTTCGGTTTTTTTCTTTTCAAAAAATATGCTTTCCTTCTCAAGATATCCCAAAAATGCTGAAAGTCACACAAAAAAACCTATAAATAACTGAGTTTTTTTGCGTGACTTTCAGCATTTTTTGGATATCTCGAGAAGGAAAGCATATTTTTTAAGGGGGGGAGGGGTACCCTTAATCGTTGGTTATTTTGAACAGTGATAACAGCAACATTGTCTAAAGAACAACTGCAAACAAATTTATGTTGCTTGTTTGAAAAACTTCTAACAGCACGTTTGTAGATCGGTTAGACTACATTAAAAAACATTCTTAAGATCAAAGGAGTTTAAGAAAACTATTGTTAAAAGTGTAAAATTGACCTGACACAATTTTAGGAAACAAAACTGGCTCTGTATCATATCGCACGTTCCAATAAGTTTGAAAACATTTTGTTAGATTTTTTTAAACAACATCGATAGGGCTCGTACGTCATTAGTCAAGCACGTTGGAAAATTAGATAAGAAAATTTGTCACTTCATTGACGTTAGAGATTTCAAGGAGAACAAGAACAAATTTCGACGTATATGTAATAGGTAGGAGTGGTCCATGTAATATATCGAAACTTATATATATTGTGGTTATGAAGAAATTTTCATTCATCAATGTTTCATATAAATATCAGTTTGCTTTTCTACAACAACATATTTAATAATAAGTAGTAATACAACTCGAGTAACGTTTGTTTAGTTTCGAAACGTACAGAAATCTAATTTGATTGTATTTCACCTTCATTTCCATAAAGAATACAAGCAATAAATGAGTGTTTTAGTTTCTTTGAAAAGAAATGTATTTCGGATTTATTATTCATTCAGTTCTCTTCTGACCATCAGTTAATAGATGATTCAATCTGTTAAACTTACTTTCTTACGCAAAAGATAATTTGGCATATAAAATTTCAGTATTGTTTTTCGAATTGATCCGTCACTGTAGCCTTTTTAATATAGTAAAATTTCTTTTTTGACTTCGACTAAGATCTATTAATAAGTTCAACATTTTGTGTCTCGACGAAGTTTTATACATATTTTCTTTTTAGACAATGGCATTTACAAATGATGATTGGATGAATTGTCCAATTTGTTTAGAAGAATGGAATGATTCTCATCGTCCTATAACATTTCAATGTGGTCATACTGTTTGTATTTGGCATAAAACAGGAATTATTTCATTACGTCAATGTGAGTATCGATCGTAGTTACACATCTAATTTTTAAAACAAAAATATTATCGAATTAAGGTCCATTATGCAGACATCCTTTATCACGCGAAACATGGTGCGTTTCTTACAATTTGGAACAAGCGGCACATACATTTCGTATGATCAGACAATTACAAGATGTTAAATCCGGCAATAAAGAGTCGTTAATGTTATCTAAACCCCGTCGAAAGTCTCATAAGAACTTCGTATCGTATTGTTATTCTAAATTCAAAACAATACTTCCTTGAATATTAATTTACACCGACATTAGATACCTCATTGAACATGTAGCCTATTCAAAACAATCTCAACAAATTGATTATAATAGATAGCGTATAAATTGACGTTAGATTCCATTTACTGGTACTATACTTCGAGAAGAATACCAGAAATTGTGTAGAGATGCTAGTTATTCAAGATAATTGGAGGATGTTGTATATACATGAACGACTGCATTATGAAACTACGCTGATAGTATATGTATTGTCAATCGAGCTTTTTGAAATCAGTTTTTAAATCCAGTTTAAGAAGCATGATGATCGTTTTCTTGTATTTTGATCTGAAAATTTTAATCTCATTAAAGATACTTTTTGTCGCTTAGGTTGTTAGACAAAGTGAGGCAATAAGAAGAGATTTCCTTTCTTAGAAAATACTTCTCCCGATGATCATTTTCTCAAAATGAACATGAAGCCATACAAAATAAATAAAACATTTATCGATATATCGAGTAGTAACGTATAATTTCCGCAGCTGACTTACTAGCACAAAGAGAATTTGTGTATTTTAAGTAATGCATAAAACTTAATAATGTTAAGTAAGATGATAGGATTAATAAATCGTTCATACATTTGAAGTCAAAGGAATTGTCTTGAAAGTCGACGGCTTGTCCAGCTAACGGCCTCCATTTTTTGCTCTTTTTCGAAAGGTTATTGCAATTCAGTTACAAACTGACACTTTTGACCGTTTTTGGCACAGCGTCACGTTTTTCCTGGTTTCAGGAAAATCAGGAAAAACAAGTTACATCGTTCCACCTCGTAACGTAATTTCAAAACACGAATTTCAAAATGATGAAGAATGTCCGTTTTTGACACCTTCCGAGTCTTTTTAATTTTTCGATCGGAAAAAAATGTCTCAGAAAAATTAAGGCACATATATTTCATACTTCAATGTATAACCTCAGTTACACAGCAACAGGCTTTTAATATTCAGCATCAGTATTCAGAACCTAACTTTAGTTTTTTTTTTTTTTATATTGGATAAGTTTATTGTTCCCAAAAGGGTTGACAAGAAGAAAAATTCTGTATACATACAAATATATCGATATATAGAGTTCAATTTATAGAACTTAAATCACTCCTCATGGACGTATTAATTAAGGCAAAAAAGAAAAACCATCAAAAGAACACACAAAATTAATAGAAGTATACAGAAAATATAAAATCCACTATGCAATATATATATATATTACGGTGGATAAAGATACTTGTGCACAAAATCTTCAATAAAAAGAGAAGAAGAACGAAATATATCTTTTTGCGGTTCATGATCACAAAAGAAAGAAAAAAGGTCAATATTCGTATGATGAGCTTGCTGTGCCAATCGATTAGGAAACACACTATTCTTACGAAATTCCATAGACCTATAATAGGAACGAACTCTATCCGGTGATGTAGCAATAAGATAAGCCTCCCAAGTTTCTCTATATGCAGATGCTTCATGAGAGATATCAAGATGGTCCTTAAATCTCATCCAATAATCATAAAAATAGTCAAGGAGTGCTCTCCCCTAGTAAGGCTCAAAGTCACAAAATCATCCCACCCCCAAAGGCCGTATACAATCCTAAGACCCGTACAATACACATGTTCTATATATTTTCTTTGAATTTCAGTAAAGTAAAACCAAGTGGCAAAAAGCCAGATAAAGTGTGGAAATGCAAATGCACAAAATAGTTGTCTTCGAATCTTCCATTCTTGTAATGGTATTACTCTGTATAATTTTTTCAGTGCCATATACACATTTCTTATCTTAGAATGATGATTTTGATTTTGATTATTGATTTTCATAACAAACTTTGGGAAAGCTAGGAGAAACTACACTATGAACTAGCATTGCTTTTGTCTTTCCTACATTAACTGGCTGCATCATATCTTTCGAAAACTTAGCTAATGCATCCATAGCAAGCTTCGCCTGCTCCTCCAGCCAAATAATGTTATTAGAAAATTTTTTCTCAAGACAACCTTTTAAAACCAGAGCTAAATCGTCAGCAAATAAGTGACAACAAAAACGAAAGACATATTTAGGGAGAAAATGGATGTGCAAACGGAAAAGCGTTGCTGCTAAAACGGATCCTTGTGGAGCCCCAACGAAAATATTTATGACTCGAGAGATCGATTCACCATGGTAGACAGCCATAGTTCTCCCTTGGAGCCATTGATAGATCCAACGGACAAGGGGAAGTGGCATATCTAATTCTAGCAAAGTTGCTATTAATGCTGGGTACCACATTCTATCAAAAGCAGAAAGAAAATC